AACACTTAGAAAAGTGTTTGGTATTGTGTCCATCTATCAAAACAACAGCAGTAGGTTCACCGATAGGGCATATAGCCTCCCCAACCATGGCTTTCGGCCAGAGTTACAGTATCAGGCATGAATTCCTTCTGTGGAGCAGGCCTAAAATTCTGTCAGAAAGCCGTTTTGTGCTGGGTCACTCCCATAACAATCCTGCCACTATTTACCATTGGATATATCTTGCCTGACAGCTTGGTATTGTAGCTCCTAGGTTTCACCCCTGGGTAAGACTATTAGTGACTTTTCTGCCCTAGCAGCCTGCATAATCCTTCAGGCACTATGAAACTAGCGAGCACGGATAAACCTTCCAGCTTGATTTCTCTGTATCCTGTAACCAAAGTGTGTGGCATCTTCAGTAACAGCATCTCTTCATCCATATTTTTAAGTTTTTGGTTCAAAGTTTTAAGGAGAGTAAATGAAGAGAATTCAGAAGTTACAAATATTTAAAATATTCAGGATCACTCTAAAGCACTTTTTGGTCATCAGTGATTGATCTGCTTTAAGAAAATAATCAGAAATCCTAATGAGTTTTGTTTCTATGGTCATATCACAAAGAATATGCTCTGTGTATCTCTTGCCACATAAGTAAAATTGCAGGGGAAGAAATAGAGAAATGGTCCTTAATATCCAAGACCTGACCTGGAACAGTCAGGAAGACTTCTTAGTGCTTTCTAGCTGGCCTGACCTGCAGTTCACATCTTCCCTGTTCTCTAAGTAGGAACAGTATCCCAGAGCATCAGCATCCACCAAAGCCACCTCAGGACAGATGCTCCCCCAAACAGAGAAGCAAGCAACAACGAACCCAACCTGTCTTGCAGACATGTTGAAGGCAAACTGAACCTGAGAATTTTATACCTAAAAGAAAGGCAGACCATCTTCCTGTCTTGATCCAGAGGTGCAGGAGTGGCATTTGGCCATTAGAACACTTGTGTAGTCTAGTTCTGCCTTTTTTGATAAGGCTTTTGATATCCGGTCATAGACTTGTCCCTGCTCCCTCCTATCCTGCAATTCGGAGCAAAATTGCTCCTCTCTGGACCTTCCTTTAAATAACTTACCGAAGTTTCATTCGGACATCATTCTGTTGACATACTCCACAAGGTCCCTGTGTGGGTTTTCCATTGCCGCTACAGGTGATAAACTCAAGTTATCCAACTACAGGTGACTATCTGGTGACCCTTGGGAAGATTATATTGCACTATTAATGACTTTATAGTGAGCAAAATTCACACACCATTGGAGAGGTTTCTAAGTTTTACACTTTTATCATTTTCATTAAAAGTTGAAATAGTTTCACATTTACAAAAACAAATTGCAAAACAAAAACTCAATTCTTATTTAGTTCACACAGATTTACAGCTATACCCTGAAGTCAGTTACTATAAGTCTGTCAATTTTTTAGCTGATTTAAGAACTGCATTTCTATACATGATTTAGAATCATTTTGCTAGATTTTCTAAACACCTGTGCAAAGTTTGGGATATTAATTATATATTAATAATAGATGCATTTAGGAAAATTTAAGTTTTTGAGACTATTAAATTCTTTTATTTATAAACTTGGCATATAAACTATTTATTTGGAATTGGTTTATTTTTTTAAATGACTCTTTTCTAGTCTCTAGTATTTCCTCTTGGAAAATGAAATTACCTAGAATCTGATGTTTTTAATGCTATTTTAAATAATTTTGTTTATTCTTTCTTAAATTTCAGATTCCAGTTGTTTATTGAAAGCACATACAAATGTCATTTGTTCTTATATATTGATGATATACAGTCTTTTGCTAAACATACTTAGTTTTGGAAGCTTT